GCTGGCTGGGTAGGAAGGAGAAGGGATAGGGGTCGCACGCTGGCAGGAGGCTGGGGAGGAAGGCGAGGGGATGGGGGGTCGCACGCTGGGTGGGTAGGAAGGAGAAGGGATGGGGGTCGCACGCTGGCTGGGTAGGAAGGAGAAGGGATGGGGGTCGCACGCTGGCAGGAGGGTGGGGAGGAAGGAGACGGGATGGGGGTCCCAGGCTGGCTGGGGGCAGAGTTCCTGCCCTCTGGTTTAATGTGACCATGTGCTGAGAGCGTGTGGAGCCTGTCCCTGCCCGGCGCTCTCTGAAGATGACCGTTTGCTGCCTTGGGGCTAACCTGCTTTGCGGTTTTGCCAGGGGACGGGGCTTGGCCTTACACAGAGCGTGGGGGGGGAGGAGGGGGAAGACGCATTGCTAGCCGCTCAAACACGTCTCCTTGGGACTAAGTGGCGGCAGCCCCTGAGGGACAGGAGGTGCCAGACCAGGGCAGCCCATCTCCCATCCGCACCCCCCCAAGCCGACACTGCTACTCCCCCAGGGAAAGGGTTAGAAGGGAGCAGGAAGCTGTGCTGGGACCCCTGGAGCACAGCAGGGCGGGGCAGGAGGGGACCCCGAGAGCTCAGCCAGTCCAGCCCACTGTGCTGCGGGAGGATTAACGGATACCAAACCATCCCTGACGGGGTTTGTCCTGTCCGCTCCCAAAACCCTGCAATGACGGGGACCCCACGGCCTCCTTAGGTCACCTACTGAACCATCCTGTGGGGAGAGAGCTGGGGGGCCTAACGTCCAGACTCAGGCCACGTCCACACTGGCCACTGTCAGATCACTTATGATGTCACCTGGAGAGCAGTGACACAACAATCCCCCCCCCCTCCTCCCAAGTGGTGGTAGCTGTGTCGGGTGAGAGCGTCTCCCGCCGACCGAGCGCTGGGCACACGAGGGGGTGTTTTTCACATGCTGAGTGACATGACTTTTGCTGACATAAGTGCTAGTGTAGACAGGGCCTAAATCTCTCCTGCGCCAAACTAAGCCAAGTCCCTCTTAGTCTCCTGTCAGCGGCCATGGAGCACAATCGGCCAGCAGAGCGCCAGCTCCCAGCCATGGAGAGCTGCCCTGCACCAGGTAACAGCGCGCAATCCACACTGCAACACCCCAGAGCATTGTGGCCAGGACACCAGCCCTGAGCAGCATGGGGCTGAGGCTGGAGAGGACCGGCATGGCCTGGGGAGCGGGGAAAGGGTCACGAGCTAAGCTGCGGTGGCAGGGGGCAGGCTGGGGGACGGGTACCTGCACGTAGAGCAGGTTGAGCTGCACAGGGTCCCTGGAGTCCACGTTCTGGTCGGAGTAGAAGAACTTGCGTCGCAGCAGCAGCGTCTCGCTGTCGTCGATGCCTTGCTCGCGCAGCGTTCGCCCGTGATCCAGCCAGTTCACTGCCGAGAGCACAGAATGTGAGCAGGGCCGAACGCCGGCCCGCAGCTAGTCCCTGCCCAGGGCACGGGGCTGGGAGGGACAGACTGACTGACCGACCTAGGGCACTGAGAGACACTATGCAGGGGCGACCCCCCACTCCCACCGCGACCTCCCTCCATCCACAGCACCGGCCACCCCCGGGACTGACCTCCCCCCACGGTGCCCGCTTGCCCACTCGCTGCCTGCAGTGTGGGCTGGCCCTGCCCCTCCTGCCCCCAGCACAGGGCAGGTCCGTACACTCATCGTCCGTGTGCAACTTCTGCTTGAGTTTCTCCATCTTCTTCTCATCCCGCAGCAAGGTCTTGTCCTTCTTGAGGGTGCCGGTGATCTCCTCCTTCTTCTCCTCCATCATCTCCCGCACCAGTGAGTACTCGTCGTGATTGGTGATGCCTGCAGGGGCAGACAGCGCAGTGCCCGTCACAGCCTGCCTGGCAGCCACAGGCTGGGGAGCCCCCCGAGAACACGGAGCTCCCCCTGCCCAGCTCAGCATCCCTGCAATACTCCCTATGGGGCACGGACACCGCCTGCCTGGGCAGTGCCGCTGAATGACAGCACCCCCTACCTGCATGCAGGCACTGCCCCCCACTCTCCCCGACCCCCCACAGCCAGGCAATGCCGCCTCCCCATCCTCTTGCCCCCGCACCCCCCCAGGCCGGGCAACGCTCCTTCTCCACCCTCACCCCATGCCGGGCAATGCCCCCTCCCCATCCTCTTGCCCCCGCACCCCCCACGGCTGGGCAACGCTCCTTCTCCACCCTCACCCCATGCCCGGCAATGCCCCCTCCCCATCCTCTCGCCCCCCCCACAGCTAGGCAACATCCCCTCATTCCCCCCCACCTCCCCAAGCCAGACATCGCCCCCTCCCATCCTGCCCCCGGCTCTGGCCTGGGCGGTGCTCCGTCCCTTACCAATCCGGGCACAGATTGTCATGAGTATGTCTGTGACCGTTTTGGAGTCGTCCACCATGACTGTTTTAACCGTCCCATCCAGCATGCGAATCTTGAGCGGCCGTTGCTTCTTCTTGTACTCCATGGTGTCCTGCAGCACAGGCACTCAGTGTTAGCGCCGGTGTCCGGGCACGCCCGCAGGGGCATGCGGTCCCCACGCCCTCCCCTCTGTACCAGGGAATCCCGCCCACCCCTGAGGAACAGCCATGCCAGGGAGACGGGAGGGAGTACCCAGGGCTATGGAGCAGGCTGCACCAGGCACTGCAGAGCACAGAATCAGACGATCGGGGTTGGAAGGGACCTCAGGAGGAATCTAGTCCAACCCCCTGCTCAAAGCAGGACCAAACCCCAACTAAATCATCCCAGCCAGGGCTTTGTCAAGCCGGGCCTTAAAAACCTCTAAGGAAGCACGAGTAACCCTGCCCTGGGGCTGGGAGCAGTAGAGGCACGTACTGCACTGCAGGGCACGTCATAGTGCAGAGCTTGGGGAGGGATGCATGGGGACTCGGGGCGGGGACTGGGCACTTACCCCATTGCGGAGCATGTAGTAGTCCAGAGCCTTCCCAGCTTCCAGCCAAATCCCCTTCTTCGGGTCCTCATCCGAAAGGAACAGCCCAAAATCACTGGCTGAAAAACAGAGCAGACTCTCCCAGCACAGGCCCATGATCCTGGGTCCCCATTCTCCCAGCATGGGCCCCTCAGCTCCCTGGCCCAGCCAGCCCAGGCCCCTGGCCCCAAGAGCAGAGTTTCCTAACATTACAGAGGTGCAGGGATGGATGGAGAGGCTGTTCTGGGGGGGGGGGGCAGAGGAGAGACCGGGGGAGGTGAAGGAGCTTTTGGCAGAATGGGGAGGCCGAGGGGGACAGGGTGAGGAGATGCAGGAGGGTGGAGTTGTGTAGAGCTTTGGAGCCTCCCACCTGAATGTCTAACATGCAGCTACACGGTTCAGAGAGATGGAGAATAAGGTGCGTGCTGAGGTGTCCAGGCAATGGAGGGAGGAGGGGAGGCAGCCAGACCCTCAACCACTACGAACAGAGGTAAAAACTTGCACTGAATTTTGAAGGTGCGTAGACATGGAGAGAACTCCCTCCACTGCACGGCCCGTTGGGGAAGAGAGAGCAGGACCACCCTCCGACTAGCATGCAAGTCCCACACACGGCATCTCCCTCTCGCTGAGTTCTGTGTCAAGGACGGATGGACGCTGCATTAGCGAATTGCCCAGCTTCCCCACTCTAGCTTTGGCTGCTGGTAGCTGATTATACAGAGTCATCTCCTCAATTGCTCTCCAACAGTCTAAGGAGTTCCTGAGGCATCAGCATTTTGCTCATCTAGTCTAGTGGCTGTTGCATCGTTCCTCTGACAGGATCCCAAATGGCATGAAAGTCACCAGGATCTGTCTTGTCTTCATCTATTTTCTCAAAGAAAACCCCACCGAAGAAAACGTAGCAGTGCAGAGCACCAGCAACTCAGCCAGGAAGAGCCCTGACCATGGGTAGCGAGGAGCTGCCTAGAGCAAGACAGCGAGAGGGAAGCTGGGCGCTTTGACCCCAAGCTGACTGAATTAAACCCAGCGAGGAACAGACCGTCTCAGAACACTGCTGCACAAAGGGCTCAGATTGCAGGGGAACAAATGCCGGGAAGTTCAGAAATCTAGTGAGTACCCTGCACCGGGAAGCAGGAATAAAACCCACCAGCGGGGAAGGTGGCGGGGAACCCGAAATGACAGCATAATTAAGGCACAATAGCCTGTGATTTCTCTTCCTGTACCAGAAACAGGAACTACCTAGGAATACACAGCCAGGAAATACTGGCCAGGAAAGAGATGGCATCAGGAAAGCGGTAACAAATCCAGACTGTGGCAAAAGCTTATTCTCAAAATTAACTGGACAGGAATCATGTGGCCTGTGCACCAGCTAAAGGGAAATGACAAAGGGTGAGCAATTGAATGAGTTACAAAGCAAGGAATGTTAGAGACGAGTGTGGGAGGGGGGGGTCTCTTCAAATCTGTCAGACAAAAAAGAACAATCAAGGATGGCATGGTGTGCTGCTCAGTGCAGGTGGTGAGCTGGTAACGGTAGATGAGAGGAAGGCAGAGTTGCTCAATGCCTACTTTGCTTCAGTCTTCTCACAAAAAATAACAGGGGACCAGATGACCAGCAAAGTTATCACAGACAATCAAGGGGAAAGGATGCAGATCAGGACAAGTAAAGAACACGTCAGATCTTCTGACCAATCTGAATGAATTCAAATCAGCGGGGCTGGATGCTATTCACCTCCGGGTACTGAACGAATTAGCTGAAGAACTCTCGGAGCCACTGGCAACGATATTTACAAGCTCATGGCTGACAGGAGAGGTCCCGGAAGCCTGGAGAAGTCTAACGTAGGGCCCATCTTTAAAAGAAGGGGAACAGGAGGAGCTGGGAACAATCGACCAGTCAGCCTGACCTCGATACCTGAGAAGCGACTAGAGCCATGCATAGAACATTCAATTTGCAAATACCGGGAGGTCGGAGGGTGATCACTAGCAGCCAGCATGAATTTACCTACAACACATCATGCCAAACCAGCTTGATTTCTTTGTTTGACAGGGTAACTGGTTTGGTGGCTGGGGGAATGCACTGGACATAGTATAACTGGACTTCAGCAAGTCTTTTGACACCGTCCCAGGTGACATTCTGATAGCTAAGCTGGAGAAATGCAGGCTCGACAGAACTACTACTAAGTAGATACATAATTGGTTAAACAACCACAAACAAAGATTAGCTATTAATGGAATGATGTCAGGAGGTCTCAAGTAGGATTCCACAGGGATCTGTTCTGGGTCCAGGGTTTAACAGCTTTATTAATGACCTGGATGTAGGAAGAGAGCATCCTGATCAAATTTTCAGATGACACAAAGCTAGGGCAGGTTGCCAACACTTAGGAGGATAGAGCTAAAATTCAGAGGGATCTTGATTAACTGGAGAAGTGGGCTATAAATAACACAATGAAATTTAATAAAGACAAATGTGAGGTGCTTCATGTAGGGAAGAGAAACCGAGTGCGCAAATACAGACTGGGGGACAACTGGCTGGGCAGCAGCACTGCGGAGAAGGATGTGGGAGCTGTGGTGGATCACAACCTCCACACAAGTCAGCAATGCGATGCTGTGGCAAAAAAGCAAATGCAGTTTTCAATTGGATTAACAGAGGCATAGCATGCAAGTCGCAGGAAGTGACAGTATCGCTCTATTCAGTGCTGCTAGGCTGGAGTACTGTGTCCAGTTTTGGTCATCACTGTGTAGAAAGGATGTAGAGAAACTGGAAAGGATCCAGAGGCAAGTGACAAGGATGATCAAAGGGATGGAATGCAGCTATATGAGCAAAGGCTGAAGGAACTGGGTATGTTTAGTTTGGATAAGAGGAGATTAAGAAGGACATGACAGTGGTATTCAGATAGTTAAAAGGCTGCCATAAGAAAGATAGAGAAAAGGGGACAGGACAAGACACCATGGGTTCAAACTACAGCACAGCAGCTTTCAATTAAATCTCAGGATACACCCCCTACCTGTCAGAACAGGACGCCAATGGAACAGACGCCTACAGAGGTTGTGGAAGCGCCTTTGCTGGAAGTTTTCAAAAGGAGGCCGGACCCGTCTGTCTGGGATGGTTTAGATACAACAAACCCTGTACCTTGCCCGGGCGTTGGATGAGATGACCCTGGCGGCCCCTACTAACTCCAAAGTTGTGTGAACTGGGCAGAGGCACCTCGAGGTACTGCAGGGTTAGGGCCAGGTCAAATTATCAGCTGCAGCAGGAGTGAAGCCCTGTCCTGGGTGGCCCTCTGAAGGGACAGGCACCTGTGTCAGGTGCTGCTAAGGAGAACAAGCCAAGCCAGACCCACCCGTGAATGGCTGATTGGACAAGCAGCTGGCAGTCAGCTCAGGAACACCTGCGCCTCAAAGAGTTAGGATGGTTCAGGCCGGAGCCTAGAACAGAGAAAGGAAACTACAAGGAGCTAGGTAAGCAGCTACTCCCAGGGGCTCCCGGGGAAAGGAACAGCCCCAGGACACAGATGGGATGCTTCAGAGGACAGCACTACAGAGCTCTCCAGGCTCGCCTGAGGCCACAGGGGAGGGTCTGCACAGCCCAGGGAGCGGAGAAGCCTGAGGACTGACAGCAGAAAGAGAAGGCGTTTCCCTACCACGTCTGGCAGTTAATACAATAAACTAGAGCCCTTGTATATATTGTTCACTGTGTACAAGCCTCACTGAGCTTACTAAAAGTTCACTAGGGGAAACTGAGGCAGAGATGCAACTCTAGTTTCACATGGGATGCCAGGGAGCCCTCCAGCAGGGAGTGTTCACCGTTACACCATGTTCTAGGAGCGGGACCCAAGACCCACTCCCAGCAAGGCCGATGACGACGCAGAGCGATGCTTACAACTGTCTGAAGCGCGAGATGGCCGATATCCCCGATCGGCACATGGAGCAACGACAACTCTGGCTGGGCGGAAAGCCCGGCCGCCATGACAGAAACCAGACAGGCTCAGCCATTGCACACAGAAAAGGAACAGGTGTCAGATGGTTCCGCCAATTGGGAGCGGGTACTGTGGGCAGGTCTGCCCGTGGGTGTCAGAGACCATGGGGATTACTAGCAGGCATAGAGCACTAGGCACCTGGGAGGGCTGGGTTCCGAAGGACACTGGGTCTCAGATACCAGAGACCACAATGGCCGATACAGCCGAACCAAGGACTGAAGAGAAACCGTTTGGGGCCGAGAAGCGTGAAGTCCCAGAGGTAACGTGCTGCAAGGGTGACGAGCTGGGGCACGTCAAGAGACTCATGGGAGCCCCAGACAGATGGCGCATCACTCGGGGGGTGACTGGGCATCCTGCAGTATACTGGTCAAGGCAGCAGCTTCGCTAAGGGGTTTACCCTTCCCCCATTTATCAGGGTATGGTGAGGTCTCCTTCAGCCTCAGGGCATGAGGCTTGGAAAGGCCGACGGGGTTAACAGAGTCGAAAACACTTCCATTAGAAGAGGGGCCTGTTACTGGAGGGGAAAGAAAGCAGGGTCCCTGGATTGAAGAAACTCATGGTCCCAGGGTTCCCAGGAAATGTAAGTGATAAGAACATTGGTAAGGGAAGCAAAGAGACATGAGGAGAAATCTATGGCTGGCAGAGTTAAGAACAGTAAGACAGATTTTTTAAAAGTATATTCAGAACAAAAAAACCCTAACAGTGGTATTGGTCCATTACTAGATGGAAATGGTAGAATTATCAATACTAGCAATGCAGAATGCAGAAAAGGCAGAAGTGTTCAATAAATATTTCTGTTTATATTTGGTAAAAAACAATATCGTCATATAACAACACTCTTTCCATTGCACTAGTATCTCAGGAGGACGTTAAACAGCACCTGCTAAAGTTAGATGACTTCTTTAAATCAGCAGGTCTGAAGAACTTGCATCCAGGAGTTTTAAAAGAGCTGGCTGAGGAGCTCACTGGACCATTAATGTTGATTTTTCAATAAGTCTTGGAACACAGGGGAAGTTCAAGAAGTCTCAAAGAAAGCGAATGTTGTGTCAATATTTTAAAAGGGTAAATGGGATGACATGGGTAATTATAGGGCTGTTAGTCTGACATCA